TGAACTGTGTCCCCCCAAAATTTGTATGTGGAAGTCCTAACCCCAGCAACTCAGAATGTGACCTTCTTTGGAAATAAGGTGGTTGCAGATGCAATTTTAGGTAAAATGAGTCACACTGGAGTAGGGTGAGCCACTAACCCAACACGACTGGTGTCCTTATAAAAAAAGAGGAAATTTGGACACAGGTAAGCACGCACAGAGAGAATGCCACGTGAAGACTGGAGTTATGCTGCCACAAGCCAAGGAGATACCAGAATCCAGGCGAGAAGCCTAAGACAGATCATTCCCTGGCACCTTCAGAGGGAGAACGGCCCTGCTGACCCCTTTCACCTTGAACTTCTAGCCTCCGGAACTATAAGACAAGTTTCTGTTTAAGTTCCTCAGTTTATGGTGCTTTGTTACAGCAACCCTAGCAAACTAATAATACACACCGACCAAAATTCACTGCCTTTATCTCAATATTTCATATGTATAAACATATACAGTGAAATCCAATATAAGTATTCTAATGTAGTCAGCATATTAGAATTGCCGATTAGGTTTAGTGGTTAACAGAGGGTAAGGGGGGAGGAGGGTGATAGATGAGGGTAAACGGAATCAAATACGTGGTGATGGAAGGAGAACTGACTCTGGGTGGTGAGCACACAATGCGATATGCAGGTGATGTATTACAGAATTGTACACCTGAAACCTATGTAATTTTACTAACCATTGTCACCCCAATAAATTTAATAAAAATTTTTTTTAATGAATTGCAGATTAGGGAGGGGGTAATGTTTCATACAGAGGCTATTAAATTAAAAGACTGAGTAAATCCTCTTTAGCCAATTTAAAATTAAGTGTGGCTGCTGGTAGAGGCCAGTGAAATAGCAAAAGGGACCAGATGAAACTATTCTCTAGGTTCCAGGTCCTGTGCAGGACTGGTTGCAACACGGCTCTACTGGTCATCAGCTTGTTGGGGACATCAGCCCAACTCTAGGTATTCACACTGCTTTCCTCGTGTCACTCTTCTTGTTCTGGGTCAAACAGGGCATCAGTGGGCGTGTGGATCACTTTGTGTAGCAGAACTGGGCTTTTTCTCTCTGCCAACCTAAGAGATGATCCAGAACGTTCCTGACCCTGATCCTTACATTACAACTCTCCACCTTCCAGGGCAGCATTGTACTAATCTAAAACAACAACAACAAACCAACCAACCCAAGAACTGTCTATTCTCTTTGTTTACTTGGTGACTTATTTAACAGACAGCCCTACTTTTCCAAAAGGGACTTGAGATGACTTAAAACAGTAACAGCTGGCCAACATGTGCATTATGAACTGTCTGGTCTGACATGGACAGGGTAGTTATATATTTTATGAAGTCTGCTTTTATGAAATTGAAATGTTTTCTCAGATACCTGGTGGAGAAGTATCCCTGTCTGTGCTATTAGAATGGCATGCGCTTTCAATCTCTGAAATAATAGGTTTTATCTGCCATGACACTATCCTTTACATTTAGCAAATGATCTAAGGTAAATTGATCAATGTAAATGGCAGAGAAAGGGGAGGAAAAAAGTTTTCATTTCTCATTCTTATTATCTGCTGGCCACATTTCCCTTNTGATTGATTCAAGAACTGAGCCTGGCGCAAACCAACATGGACAGGCTGCAAAAAAGAAGAGACCAAGTTGGCTGAGGAGGAGCCAACGAGGCAGATGGCGCCAGGCCATTGTGGTGCTTTGGGAGCCAAGAGAAGGAGTGCAGCCAGTAGGAGGGTATGACCAGCTATGCCAGTGCTGCTGATCGGTGATGTAGCTGAGGACTGAGATCTGACCCACTGGATCACGCAAACTGGAGGTCATTTGATGACCTGGACAAAAGCAGTTTTGTAAAGTAGAGGAGGTTTGAAAAGTGAGAATGGGAGGAAAAGAATTGCACTGAGCCGTGTTCACTATGAAACACCTAGTGACACCCATGAAAATGTGAACAAGCAATAGCTCTGGGTAGTGAGATTACAGGTGAGGTTTTGTCCCCTATATCTTTTTATTGACTAGCTGAAATGAACATGTACTCCTTCTGTAATAAATAAAAATAAAATTATTATCAACATCCCTCTCTTATCGCTTCAACCACTGACCTGCTCGGGCCCGAGGTTGACTCTGAGTTCCAAGGGGTTCAGCTCTAAGAAATAAAGATAGAAAGTTCTCAGATGTCAGTCTCAGCTCCCAGACATTGCTCCGCCTTCTCCTTACCCCCAAGAACACCAAATGATGCACACCCTGTCTGCTGTTCCCAAACTTCAATCACGGAGCATTTTGAAATTAAATGATAACCCTGACAACTTGAAAATTCTTTTCAATAATTAAATGTTTATGGCACACTTTCCATGTAGCAAGAACTGGCCAAACACTATACTCAAAAACATGAGTGTGCTTGCCAAATGCTTAATTTACATGGTGAACACCATTTATTCAGGGTAGCCAGAGACCCATTCAGCAGAGAAAGCTGTCAACTCTACTGAAGAAAGAAGGCAAAGATGAGACATGTCAGGCACTTAAAGCTTATAAGACCTAAAAAGGTGTAAAAAAAAAATACCACGGGAAATCTAAATGTGACATTATATATTACACAGGAAAATGACCCTTCTATTGGGATTAAAACAGTTAAGAGATTTTGGGGAACTGCTTCTGGAGGGGAGCTCTTTTCCTGATCTTGTATTCCTGGCGCCTCTCCCCCTAACTGCATATGGTTATGGTTAGCACTTAATTAACATTTATTGAACTAATTATCTCACTTGCTCTTCTTCACTGAAATAGTCATGATGATCATTCGCTCTTTCTAGCAAGTACGAAGTTAGGTTTAATGAGCACACACTAATTCACAGACGAGTAAAGCTGCAGGAGCTCCAAATGTTCGGAGGACCCTCAGGGGCATGTCTTTCTAGCCTCCAGGTGATTTCTGTCATGTTGTGTTGATGCATTAAATGTCTAGTCCCTAAGATTGCAAAGTCTGTCTGGCAGTGAAGGAGGTCATCAAAGTACAAATGGGAAGAAAACAAGGATAAAAAAGGAAAAAAAAGGATTAGGCACCAGTATAGATGAGGCGAAAAGTCATATCGTCATATCTTGGCAAATCTTCTAACTACTGAGGATAGACACGTATAGTAGAATCTCATAAGGCTAATGAGTAACAATAATGAAGCTAAGTTTTTCCTGTATTACCTAAACGAATGCCCAAAATCACTAGAAACAGAATTATTAGTCCTATTTTGCACATGTGGAGACTGAGGTTCTGGGATGGCCTGAGTAACCCCAGGGCTGGGGTCAGGGCCAGCCAGAGTGGGAGACAGCGCAGGCTGGGGGTCCCCAAAGGGCATACAGCGTCATGACCAGTATGTTCCTGCAATACTGGTAAAAAAAAAAAGAAGAGGAGGAAGAGTTAAATTCTGTAGGAGGCTTAGCAGCACTGAGGGACCGCTTGCCTCCAGATACTCGTAAATTCTTGGCACACAATTACTCCAGAGAAAGAAGGCTGAATTGAACTTAGACTCTATATCAGAGACTCAGAAATATATAGCCATAGATTTGTTACCAAAGGTCATCAAAAGGGGAAGCATATAACACGAAAGGCTTGCGAGAATGACAATTATTACAATGCTTAAGCTCCAATAATTTGTGACAACCTAGGAAACCTCAGAAGTCCGTATGTAGAATTGCTTCAAATTGTGTAACATCCCTATGCTGTAATGCAAGACTCCAAGTTTATTTGAAATGTAAACTGAAGTAATACATCTTGACCAGCAGGTGGCAGGCTTGCCTCATGATGCGTTCTTTAAACGCTTGCTGAAAGGATTACAGTGAATTTTTGATTGAGTGATATCATTACAAAATTACAAATATATTTCATATTTAGCATGAGTTATGAATACAATATCATGTAATCATACTATAGCCTGGAGTTTCATGACTGATGTTGACTAAATCTGTTCAATTAACTGCAAGACTACAAGATAATACATATAGATATTAAGTAAAATCATCAAGACATTTCTGCACACTAGATATAAAGCATAATAATGTCTAAACTATTCTAGGTCATAGTGGGGGGAAAAGTAATCTATTTAAATATTTACTTTCCCATTAAGATGTTTAATATATTTTGTCTTCCTGTGTGAGGCATATAATGTTATATTACAGACGCCTGTCTTATTTAATTTTTAAAAAAATGTTTAAGTTTTCATTCATTCTAGAGAAGTATTAAAATTTATTTTTAACTCTTTAGAAAGGTTAAAATGTGACTGCAATTTTTTACAATATTTAAAAGTCTATTTCATTTACTATTCAAAATTAAAATGGCAAATCCCATCTGATAATCATGGTAAATTTAGGTTTACTCTCAAAATATTTGATAAGTCTAGTACAGTAAGATGACACATTTGTCTCTATTGACCTTATTTACATGAAGACAACATCTGGCTTCACTAACTAATGCAATATGTTCACAATCAGCCCCAGCAGCATGTTGGGCTCTAAGGAGGAAGGGAGTAGGTTCCTGCATTCAAGGAGCACATAACCTTATTATAGAGACAAGACCAATACAATGTTACATCCCTGGGAACTTTCTAAAATTCCTAAATATAGGCCTGCATACACATTCCCAGCGAAGGGCTTACATCACGCAAATGGAAAATGGCAGCTCGTTTGTCTTTGGGGTAAGGAATGGTCAGCTAGGCACACACTAACTCAGCTACTCATTACGACCTCTCTACACAGCCTGACTCCCACAGTCACACATCCAGTCTTCAAACTTTGGGTGATTAAAACTTGTATCTCAGAAAACTTTCATATGCCTAAGTATCAGGGTTCCTTTTAAAAAGAGAACCAGAAAATTTCNTTTTTTTTCTTGATTATGAAAGTAAAGCATACTCATGGTAGCAAACTTGGAAGATGAACAAAAATAATGGGAAATTTTTAAATAGCACATGATTTCACCACCAGATTTTATGACTATTTCTGGCGTATTTTCTTGAAGAGCTTGTATATAGCTAGTATTTTGGCCGCACAGTGATTTTACATGGTTACAAATTTGTTCCTGCTTTTTTTCACTTCAAATTAGCCTGTGAGATTGCTTCTATTTTTCTTTTCTCCTTTTTATACTTAAAGTCTACCTAGATTTCATTCGGGGCATTCATTAAGTTGAGAAATCGAAATATATCTCTGTGTAGCTTTCCAATGTATCATGTAAACTATCCTTTCTCCATTAATTCATTGATCATGTTTGTTGGTCTTTGGCAAACACTAAGATCTAGATCTAGTATCACTTTTTTCTTGAAGCAGTAAGTACAAGGGACAGAGCGATGTTGGCAATGCACCCTGCTAGTGCATAAGACAGGAAGGAGGCAGTCTAAAGGCTAAACCTGGAAGCTCACTTTCTGAACTCCATGCTGGCTCCAGTCCCTTGGGAAAATCATCATCCTTTCTAATTATCGTCCTGGAGGGCAGGACTCATGCTTTATGAGTCATTCTAATCCTAGTAACAGCACACATTAGGCACTTAATAACTACTAAACTGATTTATTTCAAAGAAATATATTTCAGTATAATAAATCCATTTTATGTTTTCTTTGCTTTTCTATCAATGTCATTATCTTAAGAACGTTTGATAAGTGGCTATGTGCATGTATCTCTGATCTGTGTGCTAAGGATATAGACTTCCTAGTTTCTTGTAGTTTTTTCCAGTCTCCTTCCTTTATTCCATGTATCCTGTTGCACATACCTTTACTTTTCCTAAATAATCTCCAACTTGACTACTACTGTGTCTGCCCAGATTTTGGTCATCTTGCAAAGAGATTGTTAGCACTCCCTCCTTCTCTTAACAACAACTTGCTTCTAGGACATGCCCAAAATTTTCTACTATATTAGGAGAAATGATTTTCATTTTATCAGGACACAAAATCCCATCTTCTGCCTTGCAATCTTTTCCCCAGAGTGCCCCAAATCATTTCACTCCCAACTCATCTTACTTTAGCAGACAATGCCCAGATTAAGCAGTTACTTGATGCTTTTGAATATCATGATTGTGTTATATAACAATCTCAAAGAATTAACACAATCATAATTTACTTCTGACTCACATCACATTTTCAAAGACATGATCTGCAGGCAGCTCTGCGCCCAGCAGTGATTGAGAGACCCTGGTTCGTCCCACCTCCTTGCTGTTCAGTCTTCAACATATAGATTCCACGATGGCGACAAAATGGAAAGAGCATGGTGGATCACACAGGGGCAGAATTTTATGGGGCAGGCGTGGAAGTAGCACACGTGACTTCACATCCATTGGGCAAGACCCACGTGTCCATATATAACTGAAAAGAGTCTGGGGAATAGAATACATTTATGTGCCCACGAAGTGGACACCTCATTGTCTGAACTTACAATACTTTTCTAGTTAGGTTCAACATTTTTTCATGTTTATTATCATTTCATTTTCTTTGGTAACCTGCCCTTTGCACACTAAAGCTAGAATTTTTGTGTTGTTCTTCTCAGTTTCTGTGCATTCTTTATATGGGGAAAAGAGGTAGCATTGGCCATATTTATTGTAAACATTTTCCAGTTTCTATTCTTTTACTTTTGTTTACTGTGGGACATACCGAATTTTTATATAAATTTATTTTTCTCCTATGATTTCTTCAATGTCTTTTAGTTTTAAAACATCCTTCCTCATTCTGAAATTTGATATTTCTATATTTACTTTTAGTTTTTCTTTCATGTTATGTCACTTATTTTCCATAAACTCTCTTAGATATTAATGGTTCCTGGAAGTGAGTTCTACGTTGATAGCTCAGCTCCTAGCCCTTTCTTTAGAGCGTCCTTCTCTTTGGCTTCTCCAGAACAAATGGATGTGGTACGTAGAATATTCTCTCCAGAGTAACACTACATATCAATCCTATTTTTGGGTACATGTGTTCATTCTGTGAGTTACAATATCATTTAATGTGTTCTTGGGTTTCTGAAAAATAAGTATTAAAGTCATGAACTACCATTAAAAGACACATTTTACTTTGTTCTAGACTTCTGTAGACAAATGAAGAGACCAAGTTGGAGTTATATGTTATTGTTTTTATGAATAGTTTTCAGACCTACTAAGCCATGTTAGTTGAATGATATGTTTTGAAGAAAATCTCTTTCATTCCCTCATAGAAGTAACATGAACCCAAAGTACAAATTCATGAAGCCATGAGTCTGTTTCATTGACGGCAGGGGGGGGTGATATATATATATATATATATATATATATATATATATATACACACACACACACTATATATGTATAAGTATATATATGTTTGTGTGTGTGTGTGTCTGTATATACACACACACATATATAGTCATATATATATCAGCTAGGGTCAAATAGAATAATATTCTCAAGTTAATCACAAAGTTTATCCAAATAACAAGAAGCAAAGAAACAAGTTCCTAAACACTAGTACCTGAGGATTTAAAAAGAAGAGCCATTTATTGAACGGTGCCATTCACCTTAAGAAGAGTTTATACTTATCCTTGCAGATGGATTGTTTTTTTCTGTGTTCTTTATTTACTTGTTTTCTCATGTCATTAAATAAGCTGTCTATGCTTTTATATAAGATTAGTGTTGGGCAATTGAAACTATATAGCATGTATATGCAGGTGAGAGATTATATGGAAAAATAAAATTTGTGGTGTGGAGAACATAGAATAATGACCTTCAGGGCTATAAGAACAACAACAAAAATTCTGGGACTCTGATATGCTTACAGCCACATATATTATGACATCGATGGTCCCTCCAAGATAAGACTGAGGTTAGACTTGATTTTTCATTGCTTTAGCTCACCCTCATCTTAGATGGATATTCTTTGTTTGAATTTTTTAAGTTATGGCAGACTTTTCCTAAATAACATCCTCATTTCATTAATTCTTATCTGTTTTCTGTTTTAGGCTTTCCAGAGATTAGCCCAACTTATAAAAGAATCCTTATAAAGACATCAAACTCTTCATAGCACTCGTAGATTTTTCAGATAATGATTTCTATATTTTAGCAGCAAGAAATGATCATTGATGCTACACAGGTTGGATTTCATCAAATATGTCATTTCTGTAGTAATCTAACTAGACAACTTTTAAAATGCCCTTAAATCCCCCAGATTGCCAAACTACATTTATAATCCATTTATACCTTTTGATAAGTTTTCAGCTTGCAAAATAAATTATTTTTATCTGACATTTTATTGTAAAGAACTCTGTGGTTGCCTTATAATTTTCCATAAATTTTCTTTGAAACTAACATTTTATGGTAAATTATTTAAAAAGTTTAAGAAAATAGTTATGTTCAAATGGTATATAATGTGAACTTTTTCTATTTTTTAGGAAAATTTAATGAAAGATTGTTGCAAAGAGTATTAAAATTTGACCATGACAAATGATTTTCAGTAAAATTTTATGCCATAGAAATCCCTTTAAAATAAAATTCTGAAACTAAAACATACCTAAAGGCATCAGACCTATTCATTCTAAGGAGAGGCTGAAAGTTAGAAAAGTTTATTACACAGCCTTTTCATAATATTACACAATTCGCAAACACACATTCTTATGGTTTATGTCATTTAAATCTACTACACCCCTTTGAGGTACTTAGGATATACTTTTTAAATTATTTTCTTTCTCACATTCTAAGAGGTTTATTTTTCCCATGTGATTACCTAAGTAACATATGCGTATTTTAAAATTTTCAAACAACCCAGGAAATAAAAGGAATAAAGTAAAAGCCACTTACTGTCTCACCACCTGTGCCCCACCCCCGCACCCTCGCAATGATAATTGCTGTCAGCATTTATCTTTAATCCTTTTAGATTTTTTCTGTGCATATACGCATACCTGTAACATGTAAAAGAATAAGATCTCCTTATGATAGTGTATCATAAACATCCTGTATAAGTTTTTTATAGCTGTATAAGAAATTGCTATAATGTTCCAAGATCCAATAATTGTCAAGTTATAAGGTGCTTTAAGAAATTAGGAAATTTATGTCTTTGTCTTTATGCCATCTTTTGTGTCAATAAACATCTGTATCATAGATAGTTATTTTCCTGGCACCGAGATGAGACGTTATCTCTTCCAACAGTTCAAGTTCTTGAGCAAAAATCTCACCTCAGAGTTCAAATCAGCTGGCTCAAAGCCTAAGTCCCTTTTTCTAAAGCAGCCAGTGGTAGTTATTTAAGAGATTTGAGAGATGCAGAGTCTGGAGGAGGGCTGAGATGAGGAACCTGAGAAATAAAAGTATAAATTAGAGAGATTAATAAAAGGAAAATAAGCCTTCCACTTACTTTATTCAGTTTTCAGGAATAACTAAAATTGCTTAGCCATGCACTATATATATGAGTGCCTTATTTTTGTTTTTAAGTCACCCACATAGAATAGTTGATTTATAAGTTCATTTATAATCCCCAGCTTTCAAGCAGGAGATTGCCTCTACCCACAGTCTATAGGAATCCAGGAAAAACTGAGAGTGAGAAAGGTAGAGAAAGAACAGAGGTGATGATTAGGTTGTCACTGGCCACTGTGAATTTTTCCAGCCTTTTCAGAAAGCAACTTGGCAGTATCGAGATACATTCAAATGTTTACGCTCTTTAACACAATGTATGAATGAGATACTGTGGACTGACTCACTTGGTATAGATTCTAATGTCCTTCCTGTGTCTTTGAACACTGTAAAAGTAGAATACTACATTCCCAGATGTCCCTGTCGCAACAGTTCCAGGTATGATTTAAGTTCCGTCATTCAGATGCCTGGTTTCAGAGCTGAGTTCAGAGGGGAGCGGGGCATCCATTTTGCTGGCATAGCTGAGGCAGCATGATTTTTTAGCAAGCAGTTTCTTGGTGTGGTGGCTTCTACTTCTGCCAGAATGAAATTTGGTGGCTAGCTAGGAATTGTTCCTGGAAGCTCCATCTACTTTCTCAGCCATTCCAGCAATTTTGGAAACCACAGAATACATAATCATAAACACGTTTCGCTTAAACCAGTTAGAGGAGTACCCGTTATCTGCAACTGAATGCCAACTGGCCCAGGGGCTGGTTCCCTATAAGGACTCAGAGGACTCAGGAGTTGTAGTCACAGGGATAGTTTATTACAGGAAAAGGGTATAGAAAGGTCTCAGGGGGTAAATGTGCATAGGGCAAAGTCTACAGGAAACCAGGCCCAAGCTTCCAAGGGTTCCTCCTCCCCCCGCCCCAAGCTGAGCCACACAAGACTGCGTTAATTCCTTCAGCCATGAGTGTAGAGCCTTGTCAGAAGAGAAGCTCACTTGAGCCTGTCTGTCCAGGGTTTTTATTGAGGGTCAACCACATATGCATGTAGTGCCAACATAACTGACATCAGTCACTGAAGCTCCAAAGCCACAGAGGAAAAGCAGGCGTCCACCATAAATCACATTGTTAGTATATCCCATCTGGAAAAGCTGTTGTAGCATGGCTCAGGACCCATGGCATGCAAAACACTGGCATCAGTCAGCATAGCCCACAAGTTCGGTTCCCACCCAAGGGCTACAGTGAAAACAGTCCTTTCTAGGGAATGTGCCCGGTTTGAATGACTCAGAGCTGCTAAGGTAACCTTTTCCACCCATCAGGAATCCCACTTCTAGACATTTATGGTAAAGAATAATCCAAAAGATGGAAGAAACTAAAAAAACACAAAGATAATAATTGTAATTTAAAACAGCAAAATGCTGGGTGTTGCGGTCAAGGTGTTGTGACTAAAGGTCTTGCAATAGGAAAATGGTTGTGTCAGCTATGGTTCACCCATGTAACTAAATTTAGACAACCGCTAAAACACCATTATGAAGCAGTATCATTTATTTTATGAGGCACTATGGTAAAATGAATACAGATAAAATGGAATGAAAAATCAGGGTATAAGTGTACTTTTACTTTAGTTACAACTTTGTAAATACTAAAAGACATCTCTCAAAAAGGCAACAGTTGGGTAATGTTTTTCTTTATTTCCAAAATGTTCACTGACATGGCCCTTTACTTTTATAATTTAAAAATAAAAATTTTTTAATACCTTAAGCCAACTAGTCACACTTTTTTTAGTTGGATAAGCAGAGGTTCTTAAAGGCAATGGTAAAAAATATATCTCAGGACAGCACTTGGGGGCAACTACTCTGTAATGGGAAATCAAATTGAAAATCATATCCATATAACCAAAGTCAATTTGAACCTGGTCAAAAATCACATAGGTTTAATTTTTTATTGTCAACCTGTGTAGCTTGTTTCTGGCAGCCATGGTGTCACCATTCAGTGAACTAAAGCAGCTGGAACCCCTGGTATCGATGGCGTTCAGTATAGCTATTTCAAGTTGGCCTAACAGATCCATTGTCACTTGGCACTGTTCTCTTTTGATTTAAATTTGAATATTTGTTTCTTCACTTTAGGAATTTCCTTCCCTCCATGTAGGAAAGTCTTCAGTGCTTCCTGATGGTATATCCTCAAATTCCTTTTCAAAAGCTAATTAAGTCTTCAGTGGATGGCAATGATTAACTTTATCAAAAGTAAATTTAATTAAAATTTTTAGAGAAGCTAAAAATCTTAATGACAATCAAATATTGACTAAACATCTAATCTTAACTAGTGATATGTGTTTATTAAGATTTTAAGTTTCCTGAAGTCAAGGACCATAACTCCTTTCTCTGGGACCCAATGGCAACTAAGAGAGTGTCATTTATAAAAGGTATATATTGATTAGCATGCCTTTACAGTTATCCTACTTTCAAGCTTCAGAATTTAGATTTTCATATGTTCATTTTATTCACTGTCAGTGAATATTTATTGAGTGCCTCCTATTCTAGGCAATCAATATATAGAACAAAATTAATTCTTACATTTGGGGCAAGGACTGGAGAAGGAAGACAATAAAAAAAACTATTAATTAAAGTATATTACCTAATGATAAGTGCTATAAAGAAAATAACAAGGGTAAAAGGATAGATAATGATAAAGCAGGGGTACTATTTTTCATAGAGGCCCCAGAGGTGGCCCCCAGAGCAGGTGAGATGTAAGCAGAGAGCAGAAAGCATCAGGTCGTCTGTGTGAAGTACTCTATGCCGAGTGACCCTGAAGTTCAAAGGCCCTGAAAAGAGACAGCACTTGACCTGTTTTAGGAACTAGAAAGAGTTCAGAGTGGCTAAAGAGTCAACAGAGGTGTACTAGTCCGCTCAGCTGCCATAACAAAGCACCACGAACTAGATGGCTTAAGCAACCGAAACTTCTTTTCTCACAGTTCTAGAGACTGAAGTCCAAGATCCAGGTGTCAGCAGGGTTGGTTTCTTCCATGGCCTCTCTCCTAGGTTTGTAGATGGCTGTCTTCTCCCAGAATCTTCACAAAGTCTTCCCTCTGTCCATAGCTGTGTCCTAATTTCTTCTTGCAAAGATGCCAGTCACATCAGTCATATGGGATTATGGCCAACCCTAATGACTGCATTTTAAATTAATTACCTCTTTGAAGACTCTATCTCCACGTCACATTTTGAGGTACTGGGGGTTAGAGCTTCAACATAGGAATCTGGGGTCACAATTCAGCCCACACAAAAAGGAAAAGTGGTAAAAGAAAAGGATGAGAGAGAAGGGTGAGGGGGTGGCTGGACCAGGTAGGGCCTTGCAGACCATGCAGGAATTTGAATTATTCTATGAAAATGGGAGCCATTGGAAGGTTTTAAGCAAGAGAACAGTAGGAGCCAACTTGGAATTCAGAAGTTCACTCTGACCTCAGCATTGAAAATAGATCAGAATGGAGCAAGGTTAGAAGCTGGGAGGCCACTTAGTCTGCACAGAGGACCTTCTATTTCAATTAGGGTAATCAGGAAAGAACTCTGATATCATGGCATTTAAGGCAAGATCTGAATAAAGTGAGGGGCAATTAATGCAGATATCTGAGGAAAGAAAGATGCAAATTAATTTTTCAATAAAAACTGAATATAAAGAGGCTACCTTATAAATTTAAGGTGAAATAAGCATTACATGATCCCTACTGTCATATAATTTGAATATGTAAACTCATTTTATTTCTCTTATTTACTTGACTTGGCTAAATTGCTTTTCTTCCCTATTCCTGCTTTCGGATTTTTTGTTTGTGTTTTTTTTTGTTTTTGTATTTGTTTTTTTTTTTTTACATTTTTATTGGGGAATTGGGGGATGGGAACAGCGCTGGGGAATTGGGGGAAGGGGAACAGACAAGTTGCTGTCGTTTTGTTCTTCAG